GCAACAAACTCACTAGACGTTATATTTAGAAATTTTCAGAGAAATGCAAATTTTCTTACTGTTTATTATATCAACGTCCCAAGTTCTTAATTATTTGTTGTCAATCTGATCAAAGCTTCCTTTCCTTCTGTTACGTTGTAAAAGACTATGATGTGAAGTAAAAGTAGAGAGTAAATAGGTACTCATACTATTAATCTTACTGAACCGTTAATGAGTAAATACAATATATTTAACGTAATAAATTAAAATCATAAATCTATTTTTTTTCTTTTAGTAAAATAAATTCGTAGTTTCCCTTTCATCTTTATCAAGCACCATAAACCATACCTAACTCGCATTTAACTCTACTTATTTTTGTTTATTATCCAACTACTTATCCTTTGGTTGTTTATTGGTCCATTGCTTCAGATACACTAATGGTTTATACAAAGTTGTTCATACTTGTTGATTTATTATTATCTCTGTTGAGTCTTTCTTTAATGTTTACATATTTTGCTTGATATAGATCCTGTTAATGCTTGGCACTTTGAATCATCTAAATTCTTACAACAGTCAAAAATCAACTACCAAAAATCTGAAGAATTTGTGTCGCCATCCCTCTATCTGAGAAATATATGTAAACAGAAAAGATGATCTCAAATAACGCTTATATATTCAAAATGCAGACGAATTAAAGAAATGCAATAATCTGAGTGTAGACATGAACTATAAAATGAACTGAAATAATAAAAAAAAAACGCTTTATATATAAACCTTAGAAGCCTAAAATTAGTGAAATAATCTCGTTTGAAGTAGACAATAGGTTCAACTAGAAATTTATCCCAATATGTTGTTAATTAAATAAATTATTTTCAAAATTATGTCAGTTCTCTTAATTTAATTAAAAAATACGACAGAAATTATGCAATATTCTAACAAAAATTATCAACAATTAAGCTTAATAATAATCAGGACTCGATAACATCACATTATTTAAACGAGGTAACTGACCAAGATCAACCTGATCAATACTATAGGATAAATTTCTAATGGAAGAAAGGGACTATGACGAGATTCACCGACGAGAGGTAATGGAAAATCCCATGAATCGAATGAGATGAAGCAGATTTTTAAAATTAATTTAAAATTACTAATAACTCTCTCAACAATAATAAAATAGACTCATTTGTAGCAAACAATAAAAGGGGACTCCGCGTTGAAATAAAAGCGTAAACTACTGATGAATTCCTCTTTGGAAAGAAAGAATCACGATAGCGCACGAACGAATAACAAGACACACTTAAAACTCGGTCGATACGTCTCCAATTATTCCCGGCCCCATCACGTGACGTAGATGTGATACACGGATGGTAGACTCCGATAATGCTAACCGGATCGTTACCGGAATTTTCTCCACTTTTCAAAAGTTTCCCTCGCGTCGCATTCCTCAACTTGCCGAGGCTTACGTAATCGTACGACCGGGTCATCCGAAGCCGCCACCGATCTCGAGGAAACGTGCCTGGATGACCGAAATCGGAGTGGCCGGCAGCAAACTTCCTCTTGGACAAGCACCATAACTCACGCCGGCAAATATTGTGCCGTCTGAACTTGCATACCCCTCTGATAAATACCAAACGCGTGCGCGCATCGCAACACTCCCCCAGTATATAGAAAATATTTGCCTGTTTCGTCTAAACAATATCGCGCATGATCGCGCGGATCAAATAAAGCCGCTGTATTTCTGGTCGTTCGCTCGCTCGCGTATTGGCGGCCGGATGAATTAAAAAGGCAGGAAAAAAAATCCAGTGGAGGGTTATCGACGGCCTGGAATCATCTACGATACGAAGAGGAGAGAATACCGTTATGAGATACAAACGAAATCGTTAGTTAATGAACGAAACCTCTATTGTTGCGCGTCATACGTCGGCACGGTGATAAAATACACCGCCTATTTGTTGTTGCACCTCGACATTTCTACGCGAGTATTATGTTCTCGTGGCTCGGAACCGTTGCCCGGTAACGCTTCTACGCGCTGTGTTTTCGTCTATTCCGCCGCCTTATAATTAACTGTCAGACAAAGTTAGCTGCGAGATAACCGTTCCCTCCGTCATCATCCCCGGTGATCGTAGCGCACACCGAGGGGCAACGTCTACGATGTAGACATCGGCAACGTGACCTACACAGCCGTAGAGCATGACTAATCTAACCTGGTGGGTAGAGCTGCATTGCAAAATTACATGTAAAATTACGACTATTATAATCGATCATTTTTGGAACCAACCATTACAGATATAAATTTATTATAGATGCGCGTGTAAATAAAATGTTCTGCTTGCAGGAATTTCTTTTCTAATATTACATTTAAAGGGACTGGAGGGTCAGATTGCCTAAAAATCGTGTTTTTTTAGAATTTTTTATGACAAACTGAATGAATATGCGAAAATGTTATTTTGACGTGTATTTATACAACGAGAATATAAAGAGAAAAAAAATATAATTTTGATGATCAAATACTCAATACAAGTGTATGGTACATGCAGTTAAAATATATTTCGTTTTTCTTTTCGAGATCGTCAGTTTGCAGTAATATCTTGACTCTCGGTGGTTCAATTAAGCTGAATTTTAGATAGAAAATGTCCGTAAACTTGTCGTTATCGTGTGAATCACTATAATAGAAATTGAATAAAAGTTAACAAAATTGTAAATATCTTAATGGAATATTATTAAATTTTCAACTTTTTATAGTAAAAAAATTAATATTTCAAAATTAAATATTTTCACGAGTTTGTCAGTAATTCACACGATAACGACAAGCTTACGGAAATTTTCTACCTAAAATTCAGCTTAATTGAACCACCAAGAATCAAGATATTACTGCAAAATGACGACTTTGAAAAGAAAAACAAAATATATTTGAACTGCCTGTAACATACATTTATATTGAATATTTGAGCATCAAAATTATATTTTTCTTCTCTTCATGTTGTATAAATACATGTCAAAATAATACTTTCGCATATTCATTCAGTTTGTCATAAAAATTGTGAGAGAACAAGCACGATTTTCAGGCAATCTGACTCTCCAGTTCCCTTAAACTGATCGCATCGATGGCACAAATAACATTACAGTTCAATATAAATTTACAAAAATTATTATGTAGTAATATTTTTCGCATTTTCAATAGATATAATTTTTAGTGGGTAATAGCAGTTATTACGGCAATAATATTTACGACACAACGTCGCTCCTCTGAATTTATGTTTATACTAGCACACGTGTAGTAAGAAGTGAAATGCAGAAGTGACACTGCAGTATTTATCTATTTTTATGTAATATTTCAACTATGATGTATACATATTACAGTAATGTTATGCGATATTACAAAAATTTGCCCAAAATACATTAAACATGATATATATATATATATATATATATATATATATATATATATATATATATATATAATGTTATATATCGTTTGTGTAATATTCTAGGATTTTTTCTGGACATGAATCAAGAATTCGTATACTTTTGCTGTAGCAAAGAGTGAAGTTGGCATTGACAGTTTAAGACAAAGTGAGATAGCTATTTTGGTGTTTATTTCTTTCTCACTCTAGCTTAGAGCAGCTATCAAAAACCTATTCTGGGACAAAACCTATTCTGTATGCACATACAGGCGACTATTGATTTAATAAGTGTCATTCCGCAGCTATTTTATGTAATAATACTTGCGCAACGCACAGTTTAGGCAGCTATATGTTTATCGACAACTGTCGGTTCAGTTTATTTCTTTTCGCAGTTATTATATCGTAAAATAGTTGTATAACAACACATACCGAATCAACAGTTGTCGCTAAATGTGTACAGAATACAACTCCTGATATATCGATATAACCTTTGCGGTCCTTACTTATAAGTCTTCTAATTAGCATATAAACACACTTAGAGACACTTTTATTGATAAAAGAGGATTTAGAATAAGAGACTTTGCTATTAAGAAGGAAACTATAAATGGAAAACATTGCGATACAGTCGCTAAACTTTTAAGAAAGAAGAAAAACATCGAAGAAAGCATTAAAAGTAGATTTTTATTGTATTTATAGCATGATATAAGTGGCGTAATAACACAAGTCGAACGGTATCAGTTTTTACACATTGCAAAATTAAATATTACAATCTATACTTTTAACATACTATATTGTATTTTACATTGTATGTTTTACTTTTACATACTTATGTTACTACACCTAAATATATTTTAATTTCATATATCGGCTCTTAATGCAACTTCAAATATCGTTTCTCCAACATTATACGACTTTTGAGGTTAAAATAGTTTTCTAAGATTAACACATATGTATGTTAATTTAAACTGCCCGTACAGTGTTTTAAAAGCACAGACGTGTTAAAGTATACATGTAACAAACTTCATTTCCAAAAATATATAGTTAATGTACTTGTAGAAATTTATTATTATAGTCAAGTTATAAATATTAAACTTACAACACAAATTTATTGCTATTATATGCAGCACTTCATTTTTTTGTAATGTATATAGTGGCTTTTGACAGCCGTTCTTTAGGGCAGCAGTTTGAGGGATTTGAGGGAAAAACTGTTTTCGGGATTGTTCCTTCCTCACTCTAACTTACTACAATGAGAAAGGAACAGTCCCGAAAACAACTCTACTTCACTCTGTCTTAAATTGCCAATCTAGTAAGCTAATGGGAAAAGAACAGTTCCAAAAGTAACCATCTCTCTCTGTCTCAAATTGCAAGTGCCAATTTTACTTTGTGAAGAGAATATTTGGCCTACGTACATATATCGCTGATCCTTTCTCCGAGTTATCTCCTCTTTCTCTCTCTTCGTCGCACCATTTCGCATATCAACGTCGCTTATCGCGACGCGTTCGCGCGAGTTGGTGCGAGGGAGAAGCAAAAGGGAGGAGAAGAAACGCGGAGAGAGAAAACAAAAGATGAGAAAAACAGAAAAAGAGAGAAGCGATATGAGCGAAAATGACTTACCGCCGAAGAGCGCAGTTGGATCGAGCAACGGATTGGCCTGGTCCGCCTGGAGTTTCTCGGAGGTGGAGGTGGCGCCCGGAGTCGCCGCGGCCGCTGCTTCAGCTCCGCCACCCCCGCCGCCCCCACCGCCTCCGCCCGATGCGGAGTTCTCCTTCTCCATGCCAGTCCCCTGAAAACGCACATCGTCCATGCTTTCGTTACAGAGGTTAACTCTCACGAAGCGCAACGCTCGCGAAGTCCACGCCGCGCCGCCAGCCAAGGCCTCTCTCTCTCTCTCTTTCTCTCTACACTGCCGGTTCTTTATCTGCGCCACGAGTCGAAAAACGCGGCGAAGAGGAGGAGGAGGTAGGTGGAACAGGTTTCGCGAGGAATCGCCGCAGCGCGATATTTACGACGAAGCTGCAGCACGCTGCGCCGCACCGGCGGCGCTTCTTTCTCGGGATTTTCGGTGCCGAGCGCGCGCGGCCGGTTCAGCGCAATTTTTCCTCTTGCCGAGGTGCCGCCTTGACGACGCGGGGATTATCACTCGAAAAGAAGAAGAAGAAAAGAAGGCGGAGGAAGAGAAAAGAAGGAAGGACGCCGGGTGCTTTATCGATCGGCCACGGGGGAAGAGAATAAGAGAGGGTGACCGAACGCAAATACACTTAATCCTGCTCGAGGAGGAAATTTCGCCGGCGATATTCCTCTGGCGCGCAAACTACCGCCACTTTTGTAAATCGCAAGGAACAATTAAGCGCTCCTCACATTTTCGCGTTCACGAGAGCCTTCGAAGCGGAGAAATCCGCTTGTCTCGTTTCCGCACAACGATCCGCGACATGAAGTCGCATTTTGCCTGAGACGACGGGACGACCCTTTCACCTAATTACGACAATTAGCCGCGTCATGATCGGAAACACTCGCGAGGTCCGGAGAATTTCTCTACAGCTGGAGTTTATTAATTTAGAGCGAATACGCACACACGCATGCACGCACGAACGCGCGCGAGCACACATGAAAACGCACACGCACGCACACACGCGTGCGACGCATATACGAGGAGAGCAGCTCGCTCGCATTTGCATTCGACAACTGTTTACCAGTCGAAGAAAGGCTTCTCTCCGGCGCTTTAAATAAAGGTCGTTCTCCCCTCCACTTTTTCCCCTCCAGCGCTTCAATCAGCTGACTGGCGCACTCCCCTCCCTCGCCGCCAGCTGTTGTATAAATATACATCGTTACAACGTCAGTTAGGTTGGGTTAGGGTAAGGTTAGGTGAGGCTGATGCTAGGATAGTCGCGGCACTGGTGGCGGCGGCGGCGGCAACTGCAGCGCGGCGCGGCGCCGCTATTATTATACAACCAGTATAGTTATCATAGACGCGCGCGTGTGTGTCGTGTGCGTCGATCGCGAGCAAAATTACCATCGCGCTTGCGTTAATTAATCCTGGAGCGAGGTGATTTTTCATCGAGTGCCTTTCAGGCTTTTGTTTGGAAACGTACATTTTAGCCACGACAACGCATTTGTGCGCGCGCATGCATACACATACACTCGCATTTCTGCACACATCTGCCCGCTGATATCGCGGGTGCTTATGCAACGTCAAGGGTGTTGAATTACGCGTTTTAATGCATTTCTCCCACTTTCTCGCTCGTTCTCTCGTTAGCGCTGTCTTTTCAAAACGAGAGAGCACGCAGCTCTCAAAAAACGATGCGTCCGCGCAAGTGTATCGCCTAGCGACAAACGGATTCTCATGTTACTATGCTCATCCCAAGTGGAATTCATGCTGAAACGGCATTTACCGTTATTAACTCGTTAGTTCCTAGATACTTCCAGCTTCGTGCGCCGCGTTTCCCCTCCCCCCCCTCTCTCTCTCTCTATATATATATATATATATATATATATATATTATATATATGCATCCTCCGCGTCCTCGGACGAAAGAATCCGTGCGAACGCACGCCCGAAGAATCAATGTTGGCTCGCTCGAAAATAGAATTTTCGCGTCGCGCTGGAGCGAGCGCGAAACGAATGAAACGCTGACGCGAAAAACGTGCTTTGTGCTTTGTCAAAATTTACGGTGGGGAACTCGACTATTGGCGGAGTCCCATTGAAGAGTTCACTGCTAATCTGGATGGTGAGATTTTTACGTTCGCGCGATCGATTCGTCGTAAATTCTATGACGAAGGCTACGGATAATTCTACGCGTTTATTCTCGTTAAATTAATGCAAAATAAAGACTCTTAATGGAAATATGTAATATTGAGCAATATTATAATTTCGGTAAAGAGCAAGAGAAAGAGAGGAAGGAAGAAAGGACGAGAAAAAGCGTGATAATCCGATTTAAACGTTTTCGACAGATTTCTAATCCGTGCGTTTACGTTCTCCGCGCATCTTTTCTTGCGACTTCGTTTTTAAGTACAAGTCCTCTAAGAGGATTATCGCGTGCAAGACGGTTCTCATCTATATTTAAATATACGCTGAGATATAAATGCTTAACGCCTTGAAAAATAGATTAATTAACATTAAAATTACTAACAGTTAACCCATTTTTGTTAGAAAAATAAAAATGACAAGTTTTTGAAAAAAAAAAAATGCACAATATAAGGGAAAAATGTTTATTTACTTTTTTAATTTTATTCAACGTTAATTAAAAACATAAAATGCACTGTTATAAATTCGAGTAATTTTTATAAAAATTTACAAACCCGGTGGTCATTTTGACTGCTTTGGTAGTACTACATGAAAAGAAAAAATCTGTGCGCAACTGAATATGGACTAGATAAAAATCCAGCAATATGAAATATAATATCTTTATTACCGTGACCGAAAAAACATTTGTCTAAACGGTTATTAAGAGAATACTGGAGTCGATGACGAACTCCAAAAATTGTCGATAACGTAGAGACAATCGTCACTAATACAATCACACTACTTTTTTCGTATTTTTATATAGTCAGTTGCAAAACGATTTTCATATCTTTTTTCTAATAAAGTTGCAGCGCTTCAAATTGTCATAATTGAGTCACTGCTGACGAATTTGCGCAATAATTGATTAATAACAAAAGACACAGGCAATAAATTACGCTGCGTAAATTAGTCAACAATTTATGATAAGCTTGAACACTGTAATTTCATTGGAAGAAAAAGGTAAAGACCACTTTATAACTGAGTGTATATGTTATTGTGTTTATTGTCGTGGATCCAAGTCCATTGACCATGAATATACATGTAAATTTTACATAAATAATTACCTTTTTTATATTCAATGCGGCAAACATACATATATAGAAATCTTTCTGAAAATTTTCCCAATATTTTTATGCTTGTAAATTCAAAGATAAAGGAATAGTAATGTTCTTTGAAATTTTTCTGAGCAAAGCAAACTCGCGCGTTCAGTATACACAAGATACAGATCTCTTGTATCAGGCAAACAATTATTTCAGCGTTTGACAAGCTAATTTACGTTTGAAATGTCAACTTTCAAATTTTTTAACCATTTTTGTCATATATTGAGCAATGTTCCAATTTATTCTTACACGTATTTTTATTGTGTAAGAATATTTGTAATTCTATGTAATCCATGTGTAAGCTTTGCAGAAAAAAGTCTGTCGATAAAGATTTCGATTTCAGCATCTCTTCAAAATTTAGTTGAAAAAACTGAGAACATTTGATTGAATAGAAACCTTCTACAGGGATCTTTCCTACAATTGAGTTTTTCATCTGGTCTCTATTCTTACCAGGCAATGGAAAATTCAGTTATATCAACAGAATTGTTTCTTTCCGTGCGAATATGCGACATATACGAAGATTTTATCTTCACACACGTTGCAGCGAGTAACTATTGCGACCATATCAACAACATTATGATATTCATGGAGTGTCTGGGATTATTTTACACAGAGGAGCGAAAAAGAAGGACAATGTGCCAATGGCTTTTACTGCATTTTCAGATTCATGAATGACGACGCGAAGCCTTCCACTTCTAATTGACAAGAGAAGCCACATAGGAACAGTCTATTGCGGCGGCGGAAATTGTTCTCCGGCTGATTGTGACGGAGAAACGTCCTTTCAATATCTTCCGTTATTGCTGCTACTTTGCTTATCGATAAAGAACAACGGAGTCTTGTAGCGACGAGAGCTACAAGTAAAAAGTATCATCGCGAGCATTCTCCTCTCTTGGAAATGTAGTAAGATACGATACAGCTGAGGAAAAATTGACCTCCAGTCGCTCTGCTCTAATATTCTACAACGACCACAATACTCTCCAAATTTCTTGAAGTGAAATTGTACTAAAAAAAAATAAAATGACCACCGTAGCATTTGGAATGATTTTTTACTCATATAGAGTGAAGTCACTAGTCTGAATCGTCGAGTAAATATTTTCACGAGGAATGGAAGAGCGAATCTGATGTATTCTATCATCAGAGAAATGTGTTTACTCGAATTGATTGAAACATTTGTTCATATAGAGTCAGAGTCTACTCTAACCTCGAGTGAAACATTCACTCTTGCGATTTCGAGTGGCGGATCTTCGCTTCAAGTGAAAATGCTTCCCACTCGTTTTTTAGTTAGATCCCATTCTAAGAAAAAACCTGGCTCATTTTGAGCCCTTTGCGAGTAATAATGAATCGAGTAATAATGAACTGTTCAATAGAAGAACAATAGGTTACTAAAAATCCGATATCCGTTGCTGAAAAGGCTGTTGGAAGTTAAGGATTCTAATGAAACAAAAATGTTATTTGCTTTTTTGCAGGTACAGTAAAACCTCTTTATAAGTCTTGCCGCTATAAGTATTTTTCCTTACACATATATATTTTCACTGATACTAATTAGAGTCCCGTCCACATTATTACTCACTAGTAGTTTTTTGACACATACTTACGTTTATGCATGCAGTCGCTAAAGATTAGACAACTTCAGCGTTATTGGAAAAAGTTATAAGTTCATCTTATATATCTACAATTACAAACTTATAGCAAGATCTACACTGAAAAATTAATATTCTTGTTTTTAGAAAAATCCTTTAAAATAGACACCAAGTATAAAATATTCTAAATATAAGATTTATTCCTCTTATTTTGAGAAACTCTTATCTCTGTATAGAGAACTTTCTCTCAAAATAAGAGGAATAAATCTTATGTTTAGAATATTTTATACTTGGTGCCTATTTTAGAGGATTTTTCTAAGAACAAG